AAATTCTAATAAGACCCTGAAGAGCTCCCAAGTGTATTTTACAAATTCTATGCCTAGTGGAACTACAGGAGCTCCAGATCAAGAATACACCGAGATAAATGAAATTTTAAACCAATTTTGTACTTGACAAATTAATGCAAATATCTAAGCATTGAAGGAAAAACACGGGATATATAAAAGCCCAGCAATAATGACTGAGATTATAAACTCCGATCAGCACAGCTATGGGCTGTATTGGAGACGCGGTCCAGATGCCGTTATGCTAAATGAGTAGGAAGGTTCTATTATTTTTACAACCAGAGCTGAACACACATACAATGCTGTCACACTCCAGCAGGGTCACTCTGGCTATGTTGGGGGTATACGGAGGCAACAATGTTGGGAAAATAAAAATGCTAAAGGAACACATTTGCCCAGGTAACATAAAGAAGTCTCACAAGCATTTCTAACTTGTCTATTTATTTTAGAGTGAAAATTGGCAAGAATGTCACTCCTAAAAGTAGCATTTTTAGTGTATTTCTGTAAGTAAAGTGGAAATTTTGTCCCTTAGCATTGACATCACAAGAAATGCTAAGAAAATACTGTACATAGTCATTTTAGCTTTTTTGATTTTCAAGTTGGCTGGAGTTCAAACAAACTGGTGCATTTTGAGTGATCATCCATCCCATCCTTCATTTAATAAACCTATTTAAAATATTGCCCTTATTAATGACTACCAGAACACAGCAGTGTTCATTAGCCCTGTAATTCAATTGCCAGAAGTTTGTGTAATAAATCAGAAAAAGGTTAAAATATTTTTCATGCCAGAATAAAACGTATGAATCTATTTTATTTGATTACCTTGTGTAATGAGGCCTTCTCAAGGCCAGATTACCTTAGTCATTGTAATTACGCCAGATCATATTTTGCTTAAAATGGAAAAGATTTTAAAATGCCAGAAATTCAGTCAAAACTAATTTAGGGCTTTCTCTTCTTCTGTGTATATTTCAGGACATGAAAAATGATATCCTGCTCTTCTTCCAAGAGAAGAAAAGAGAGTCACATTGTTCCTAATGGCATCTGGACTGCTCGTCTTCTTCACTGGTTTGGAAATTCAATAAAATCATCTGTAATATTCTTTAATTCCAAAGTTGAATGTTATTATTAGAAGTAAACTCTTACGTACAATAATGTGTTTCTCTATGTGATGACATTTTCTTCTAAGTGAATACAAGCTGAATTCAGCCAATAAAGAAGTTAATAATTTAAAAAACAATAATTTAATCAATAGAGATTAACAGGGCCATTTTCTGCAGTCTTTTTCATCCTCTATAGGATAATCTCCTAACGATAAAAGAAATTGCCTACCATTCCTCAAGCCCTGGTGGGAATCATCTTCCACTTGGGGCTTTGGCTTCATTTCAACAGGGCAGTGTCCCTGGGGGCCTGCTGTGACTTCAGCAGGATGATATTTCTACATCCTGCTGTTATCAAGATACTCCTCTAAATTGAAACAGGGATACTCCAAACCACTGACTGAACCCCACGCATTGTATAGGGTAAGAAAATTTTCCTCCCACTTAAATCATAATCAGCACACAAAAATCAAGATGATCTCAAGGTAAGGGGGAGGAGAAAGCATGGTGACCATTAGAATGGAGGCAGACCTTTTCTTAAGACTCTTCTGAACTACACTTTGAAAAACATATAAAGGTGACATGTACAAGAATGGCCCAGAATAAAAAGACATTAACACCACATATTCAGAAGGATGGAGAGCAACTAGGACTCTTATATGTTGCTCTGGAAATGTAAAATGATAGAACCTACAATTTTTTGGCAGTTTCTAACAGAGTTAAATATCCCCCATCATATGATCCAGGATTTATACCCAAAACATGTGTGCGTGTGTGTGTGTGTGTGTGTGTGTGTGTGTGTGTGTGTTCATCAGAAGATCCATACTATTTTTGTATGGCATAGCAGTTTTATTTACTATGGCTAAAACTAGAAACAACCCGAATGTCCATCAATAGAATATCTACAGTCCATCTGTCTTGAAAAATAAAATCAAATTCTCTTTTACATCTAGAGTGTGTGATGTTAGAATTGATTCATGATTCAATGCTAGGATCAAGGGCACTAGGATTAAAGGTGTGAGTCCCACCTGCCCTGAGTAGCCTGGGTAAGACATAAGGGATAGAAACAGGTATGGTTATCCCTTGTTGCTTTGCTACCTGCTGCCTACCATGAACTATTTCTCCTCAGCAATTTTTATCTGCCACGCCATCTTGCTTTGGAGCCAGCTGACTAGGAAATGAAACCTCTACAAACTGCGAACTAAATAAACCTTTCCTTTTTTAAATATTGGGTGCCAGGTATTTTGCTTCAGTGACAAAAAAGTAACTAAGACAGGATGTGAGCTACTGCAAGAACTGTCCCACAAAAACCTCCCACTGTCCCCCTGCCAGCCAGCTGGATGTTGATGGTCAAGCCTAATAATATCCATTTGTCAAGAGGCTGTCAACCTGGGTCCCTGATTAACCATGTGGAGCAGAGCCCTACTGGATGCTGGGTGAACAGGAATCAGCTTCTATTATGTGAGGCCACTGAAATTTGAGGGTTTATTTGTTTTAGCAGTTGTCATTACCTGTTTTACAACAAAGGATTTCTTTTGTGGTAAGAGTGAACGGATACTACTGGGCCATCTGAGGCATTCAGTGATCCTATAGAGAAGTACACAGACAATCTGATTTAAGTCCAAAGACAATCTGATTTATTCCCTGCTTCCCAGTTTGTGACTTGCTTTTATATTAACTTTTGAGTTCAACTGAGCCGGCCCAAAATGATTATGCTCTTGGCAAATGCTTCTATCAATATGGTAATCCTAAAAATCCAGAATAAGTCCTTTGAAATTGGCTCAATCATGTAAAACATGCTGAATGTCTTTTGAAAGGTGAGATTAAGAGCTACCCTAAAACAAATTCTCTTCCTGGAATCTATTTTTTTTCTGTTCCTCAAAATGCAGTGCAGATTTGTCACCAGTACCAATCCATTTGTATGAAGACATCACAGATATTGTCAAGTAAACCAGTTCCATTCATTGATTGTGTCTTTTGTGTGAGGGTACGGATGTATATACCCTTCAACTTCTTAGAGGTGTAAAATCAAGCCATTTCTGATTTTATCCATGCATTTTACTAGGCTGCAGTGACAATGTCTTATAGAGAAATAAATCTTATTTTGTCCAATCCTAGGAATTTTAGTGTCAAGCCACATTCATTGCAGTGTAAATCCAAATTTTTCCCCTTGGCTAGAGTAGAGAATAAAAGGGCTTTAGAACATTTCTCTTGGGTATGGTGGTTTTTTTTTTTTTTAATAAATTCCAAGATGTACAGAATTTGAAAGCTCCTCCTTTTCTTGCCCTGAGGATAAAGAGCAAGCTTCTGAACAGGATTTATATTCTCTTGTTCAGGCTCTCGTTCCCCTCTCCTGCCTGGCCTGCTATCCTCCTACATTCTGTGCACCAGCCAGGCTTCAGTTCCTGTCTGTTTCTAGGGGTGCAGCGCACCCCTTTTTCTGCAGCCTTTGTACATACAGCTCCCTCAGCCTAGCCCTGGGACCACCTCCTCCTTTCATTCTTCTTCCTTCCCTCATTTCTACTCAGCCTTTAAGCTTTGGCTTTGGTGTCATTTTTTCCACCCAGCTTATTCTGACTGCCTTTCCAAACCAGGTTAGGAGACCTTCCTAAGTCTTCCATTAACAGTATTTTTAACTGGAAGACTCAGCACCTCGTATGTAATTGAAGCTTAGTGGTCAGTCTCCTTTAGATTTCAGTATCCATAAGGTCAGAGTGAATCTTTGTAATGACATTAAACCTAATATCTAACATAGTACATGGACCACCAAGGTCCTCAGGAAACATTCACTGAATGTTGCTAGACTTAGAATAATCCTTGTCTGACACTGAAATCACCATACATATAGAAGGTGACGTTACTGATCCACCAACTAAGGGACACTTGTCTTGAATTTTCTTATTCCTGGGATCACTTGTGACCAAAGAACAGAAGCAGCAAAACAGCTGGGTATAAATCATAGTTGTTATTTGTACAATAAGTAATTATACTCAGTGACTGAATTCATGACCCTGAATTCATGTTGTAACTAAGTGAAATAGGACAATAGAGACTGACTTACACAAAATGATCAAGACAGATATAAATGTGTCACTAAACAAATGAACCTCTCACTGATTTGAATAATTTGAACTTGTTTCCTCCAATCGGCAGATCCAGGGAGAGTAATCTAGTGCAGCAGTGACAAGCCAGACCTTCTCCCTACCTGCACATCACTGCTCAGCAGCATGCCCATTATTTGGGGGATCCTCTTTGAACTGACACTTGAGTTGATCCAGAATACTTTAGACCTCGGATATTTTGCATTAGCAAAGTTTAGTCTCATCATTAATCTGCCTGCCCCATACTAAAGTGCTCTTGTGCTTCTAATCATGATCTTCCTTAGTCATCATCTTGCCATAGGGTCCACTCTTGCCTGATTAGAGTCAAGGTCAAGCCAACCTGTTCTCCACACCCCCAGATCTGAGACCTCTAGCTGCCAAATGCCCACCAGCATTATGCAGTACTGTTGGAGAGCTCAAGGCCTCAGGACTTGGTCCTCAAATACCAGCACTTCTGAGAGGATTTGGGGGAACCCAGTATAAGGATGGGCTCAGTAATGAGAGGAAGAGCTTTCCTATTAGTACTGCTTGGGCATACATGAGTACAGAAGGACTGCAGAGACTTTGAGACAATGACAGCATGCCATTGAGAGTTTTCCAAGCCCACAGACTACAATGTAGTAAGACATGAGTCCTGGTTTCATATCAAAGCATCCTCAGTTCACTAGACCCTTCTCATATAATGGTAGATTGTGTCATAAAATGCTTTTAAATTCAAAGCATCAATCAATGATACTATATTGACATTGACTCTTGATATTGTGCATATACTGGATGTTTTTACCTTGTGCAACTGATAATACTGGGAGGCGCCCAGTGCACCTTGCTCCTCTGCAGTCCACAGCACCAGGCGCAGAGTTCTCTTTGGCCGCAACCCTAGGGGAAATAACAAAAGCAGCGATCTGTCAGTTGATGTTGGGCTTTTTCTAATGGCAACACCCATCACCTGCACCGTGGACCTGGGAGAGAATTACAGGTGCTCCTCTCTTGCTGTGTGGCTGCCTGCCTGAGGGTATGGCTGACACAGCACAGAAGAACTTCAGAGCTTTTCTCCAGGCCTGGGGAAGGGGTTATGACAAGTGCTGTCTGCAACTCGGGGAGTAGAGACTCTAATCACATCCTTAATTGGCAATCCCGCCTGTCAGGAATGCCCAATGGATGGGCAAGTTCAGTGTGACACTAAGTGATATCCAGAAGGTGCGGTTAGGCAGAGCTTAAGGTGATCTGGAAGTCTTGTAGAAGCCTTAACTGGGAGCGAATCATTTGGTTTACTGTGAGATAAACCGTGGGGATTTGTTAGTCTGAATTCACATGCACAGCTACCCTCTCTTGCTATTTTCAGTACTATAGTAACTAAGAAACCATGCAATATTTATCCTTACTCAAGGTCAGTTTATTCCTCTTCTTGGAAATTAAAGGTAATTTACTGAAGGTCAGCAAAAATTAATTGATCAGAGATGACATTTATTAACTTTATTATTTCACTAACAGCTTATGGCAATTTCACTGGCTTGCAATAAACAAATTTGTATTCACAGTCACTGGCTTATGTTGGTTCAATTTACTAGCTTTTTATTTTTCCTCTAACAATGGTGCAAAAGCAACGCATGGTCAGTAGAAAAAAAAGACACAAATTGTGATCTTGTTTTGGGCTAGCGATACGCAGTATGAACCTTTCTTGTGAGAGTGGACAGCAGAGGCTAGTCACCACTACTGGCCAGCCACACGATGGGGAGAGGTCCATCACCCACGAGGAGAAACAACAGAGGCTCTGCAGCACTCTGTGTAGCTAAGCTGGGATGTTGGGTAGCTTAGCCGTATTAACGCATTTTGGACTTGCAACATTTTCAAGTTACAATAGGTTCATTAGAAAGCGTCAGTCAAGGAAGTTATTGAACTGAATAATGGTAGATCTGGCATGTCTGACTATGTCTGCTCAGTAAAAGTTAACAGAAGGAAGCTTTTTTCCCAAATTAAAGCATGATAAAATAGGAGTATTGACGGGCTACTTTGTCACCCAGAATTAAAAATCTGTCCTGATTCAGATCTGGTAATGTCACTTCTTAGAAATAGCAAAGGCAGAAAAATGTGAAGCTGTACTTAAATCCTGCTAAAAGGATTTGTCTCCCTGCCTCCTCACGGGAGAGTCACTGGTAAAGACTGAAATGTGCTTTTGAGCGGCTCTGAGACAGACATGCCATGAGCTCTGCTCTAACCACACGTGTGCTGCCACTCACAGGTAGGGGAACCAGCACCAAAGACAGGAGCCAGATGGTCAGCCACAGCTGGGACATGGAACTCCTTCCTGCCATCTCCAGGTGCCCACAGTCCTCCTCCTCTCATAAGCGCAGTGCTAAGCTGCTAACAGGAGGCAGTTACATTTTTCCATGAATTGAAAGAGGTTGTGAAGTTATTTTGCACTTCACAAGTTTGACATCGTGAAATGAGCACAGGTTAAGATGCAAGCAAAACTCAAGTTCCAGATAAAGCCCGGAGAAGTGATTTCCACATGAATCCCACAGTGAAATGTCCTTGATAAGTCCACCAGAACCAAATTTCTCATCTCTGCAGCACTCTGGCCCAGCTCCACCTGTGGTGTCTGTCTGTCTCCTAGCAGGCCTCTTTTCTCTGGCCCTCACCTCTCTGCAGATGGTGCTGCACACGGTGGCCAGAAGAACCTTTGCAAACGTAAGATGATCATAGCATATCTCTGCTCCAATCTTCCAATACCCAAAGTGTAAGCTTCCAGGAGGCAGGGGTTTAGGTGTTTTAGGGGCTTAGGTGTGCAGTTCCTGGGTTTTCTGGCACACACTAAGTATCCAATAAGAAGTACTGAAGGGATGTCTGAATGCAGAGTATGGTATCTTTGTTAGAATAAAATTAAAAGTCCCTGCCCAGTCTCTTCTAGAACTTCTGCCAGCCCGTTCCCTGGCAAGGTGTTACACATCAAAGAGGTGGACAGAGCTGCTGAACCTTGTGATCATTAGACTGATGAGCCTGAACCTGTGCCTCTTTATCTGACGTGTGAACATATTACACTCCCATACCACAGCTCTTCATTGGGGGGGTTGTGGGGGTTAAATAAGTGGGGATGATGTGTGTAAAATGACCCTGCAGCTGATATGTAACTGACATTTAATGACGAACTATAAAACTACATGATGGTGTTCAGGCATGGAACACACCCTTTCACCTCCACACAAAAGAAGGGGAATCTACGCACCCAGAGAGGAGGTGCTTCCAAAAGCCTGTAAGTACTGGTGGAAGAAGAACCTGGCACACCCACTCCTTGTTCCCGAGTCAAACCAGCTAACACATGTTGGCCTTTTGGGGGTTAAGATCAAATGTAGAGTCAGACCACCTGCTCACATTCATGGCCTGAACTGGACAAAATGTTGTCTGAGAAAGAAACCTAATTACTCAAGATTTCTCAAGGTCTCAATCTTCAGTTTCTCTAAAAGAAATGTACTTAAAGTTGATTTAAATCAAAGGACATTTTACTTACAACCTGGGGTGGGGAGAACAAGATGAAGTAATATTTATATGCTGCAAATGAAAACTCTATATATTTTTAAGTGTATACAGAAAATATATTTTCTACTTACATCTCTCTGTACCTATGAGAAAAATAGTAGCAAATTATTAAAACGATGGGATGCTCTAAATAATCATAGGTGGACAACACAAGCTGTAGAGAACCCATAGTTTAAAAGTTAATGTTCTGGATATCCCTGAAAATTTGACGGGCCACTTCAAAGGTCTTACCACACAGTCCTCACCTTTCAAATCAGTGATGGCCAACAATGTTTATATGAAGAGGATAAAGAAATGATGGATCTGAAGTGAGGAATGCTAATGTCTCAAGAGGATCACAGTATGGCCGGCTCTAGAAAAGCAGACTGCTCAGGGCCTTGCAAAGCTCAGCTCCCAGCAGCAAGGAACACTGGCATCTTTGAAAGCAGAGTGTCCCACAGAGGACGTGAAAAACCAAGGAGCTCCGCAAATACCTGTGTTCAAAGTCTCTTTCCACTCTGACAGTCTGACGGTCCCTAAACATGAGAAATTCATGGAACTTTATCTAGTAACGAGACCCTAAACCTAGTATGGCATGTGGGTGCCCAGACGCCCTAAGCCAACAAAGGAGAGCAAAGGACAGCATGGGGTACAGAAAGGCATTTGCCATGCAGTCTGAATGAGCTGTTTCTTTCCTGTCTCTGCCACTTTGGGCTCTGTGAGGTTAGATTAGTTGCCTAACTTCTCTGAACTTCCCATGTCTCCATCTTTACAATAAGGAACTTGGCAATCGCCTCAAGGGATTGGTATTAAAATTAAATGAGACAAACATACACCAACCACAGAATCTGGCATACCGTAGGTTTTGAAGATTATTTGTTAGATTTTCTCTACACTCAACAAGACCTTCGGGTTGGTGCTGACAATCAGCAGGGAGGAGAAGGGGCAGACGGGCCACTCCCCACCCACTTCCTTTGGAGCCAGGGAATGTCCCTGGTCATATAGAGTGCATTGCTCCCCAAGGAAAACACAAATTTCATCTAATCTCTGGGAAAACACAGAGTCTCTTTCGGTGTGAAATATCCCCACACCCCAACATCAAACTTGTTCGTATCCAAATAAAGAGACCCCTTACTGTGAGAGTGAGGGCCAGTCAGAATGTTTTCTAAGTCAAAGGCTAACCACATCTGAAATCTAAATAAAATAAATATATCTATATTTATCAAATGAAATAACAGCGATAGCAACAACTACAGAGATACAGTAATAACAACAGTAGCAACACAACTAAGTGTTAAGCATCAAAAACAGGGAATTCTATTTGTGGAAGAAGAATCAGGGGGAAGTGAACAGCTCATTAGTAATCGTTGCTCCCAGTTCTGGCCTGCTTGATGGGAGGCATCTGCAGTCTAAGGTGCACACGTGGAAGAAGGTTGTAGAATCCGAGGTGAGAGGACGATCTTTGAGCAGGCCAGGAGCAGGTCTCGCTGAGGTTGTGAGAAAAGGCAATTAGTTTCCTTAAAGTTTATACAAACTTTCCAGAGATCCCCTGATCTCCTAGATTTCAATTTCAATTAAGACCTTCAGACAGTACAGTAGTTTACAGCATCAGATTTTACTTCTGTAGAACAAAAACTACTGATAATGTCTCTGAACTTTGTTTTGGGCCATAAATATAAGTATGTATATTTCATTGATGAAGATAAAATGATACCAGGCAGAAATAGTGCCTATGAGAAAAGATGAAAGAGTATGTTCAGACTTTATTTTTGTTATTCTCAAATGTAAAGATGAGAAGGCTGAGAGATGGTGATCATTAAACTGGTTTGATTGTCTCACGCTTGCACCATTAGGGTTTGCAAAGCAAGGTAAACATGACTTTCAGCAGAAAAACTTGAAGTAATCTAGCCTTTGTCGGTAGCTTTCCCAAACTTAGAGTTCTAAGCCACAGTTTGTTAATGGGGTGAATCGGCTCTGACACCCACGTACTACTCAGTTTCAAGGCCCTCTGGAACTACACTGACATTCTCCCCACCGTAACAGAACTCTACAGGGAAAAAACAACTTTTCCTTACAGAGACATTCTCACTTTAGCTCACAGATATATTGGTTGACAGCTGTCTTTTAGAGATCTATACTTCCAGAGCCTTATATTCCTGCAACAAGCTTGAGTTCTAGAAATAAAACATGACAAGGTAGCATTCGAGTTCAGTGACAGAGGATACTAAAGCATTGTGGCTAAATGCATGGGGGTTGAGATCTATTTCCACCTTACATAATTCATCACACACTATATGAACACACCATCATTGATTTTTTTAAAATAGAGAGCATGGTTAGACAATGATTAATTATCTTATGAA